TTTCTGGACATGTGCAGATATGGTCATCTGCTTCTGATTTTGGGGCATCTTCAGGGGTTATCTGTGGTCTTAATACTTAGATGGGTATGCATTTTTGGTATTTTTTATGCTTTCTGAATGCCTCTAGGTAGATGTGATCAGGAAATGGGCTTCCCTTTTCACTCTTCTTCCTGAGAAATTTCAAGATACAAGTATTGGTCATTTGACATAATTTAGGATTTAATTTTCGGCCTATTTCCTCTTTTGTCTGCTTGTCCCACTCCACAATCCCCGTTCAGGCCTTTTTTCTGGTTGTAAACAGTTCAGGTCTGGCTGTGGCCGTTTGGTTTTAATTAGAAATTGTCTCTTTAAATTTCGAGGAGATCTGTGCGCATGCATAGTAGAACCCTCCGAGGGTGTTGCTGGGATGGCCACTAGCTCAGGCACCCTGATAGTCACCAGAATGGAGGTGCGCAGACAGCAAGAGACTGATGAACAGATGCCAAAAGAAAAGAATGTCTACACCTTTATCTCAGCGGTTCTGCCAGGCATCTGTGGCTGTGCAGATCCTTCTCCCATGTGGTCTCATTCAAGATGGCGGCTACTGGAGCACCAGAGTGTTCCAGACTAGAAAGCAATAGATTTCTTGCTTCTGCCACAAATTCCACCAGCTGTGAGCCTTCCAACCTTCTAAGTATTCCTTTATATGTGATTCAGAGTTCTGGGACCATCTCCTGAGCCTGCTAGGTAGGATATTCTGTGTTGTTGTAGGTGGAGCTCTTTGCTACACGTCCACCTGATCTGCCATCTTGTTTTAGGATCATATACTTTTGAAAGCAGTGTTTCTATCTCTACAAACATTCCCAAATAATTCTGCAATCTTTAATTTACACTTCATCAAAATGGTTGTTTGGACATCCTTGAGGGGCTCAAATCAGGTTTTTTCACTATGTTCTTTGAGTTTATGGAGCGAAAGGAAGTCTGAAAGGGCAAATACAGGTCTGTAGGAAGGATGTCGTAATCTATTCTAAAGATATTCACACAAGACTTGCTAACTTCAAAAAATGAGCAGGTGCATTGTCTGATGGAAAATCATTCATCAGTGAAATTTTTTTTCACAACAGTATAGTTTTCAGTTTTCCTAAAACCTCTTCCTGATAAATCCCTGTGATAATCTTGCATCCTTCAGAAAAATCTATCAAGATTATGCCATTGGAATCACAAAATTCAGTTGCCACAATCTTCTGAGCGGCTATCTCTGCCTTCAGTTTAACCTACCCAGGAGATCCCCTCAGAAACCACTGTTTTGATTGGACTCTTTTTGAGGGCACCCTAATGAGACTAAGAAAGTGTATTACTAAAAGAACTTGTCTTCTATCATACACTGATTACAGAGACATGTCTAAATACAGTTCATTTGGAATAAACTCAATCCGCCATGAATTAGAACCCTAGTAATAAACTCGGGTAGTGTAGAGGTTACAAATCGGGCTGCGAATCTCATGGTCAGCAATTTAAAACTACCAACTGTTCTGCAGGAGAAAGATGAAGCTTTCTGCTCCCATAAAGACTTACAGCCTCAGAAACCCTGTACAGGCTCGTTATGAGTTGGAACCGACTCCACGGCACATAAGAACAACAACAATAATTTGTGATGACCTCCTGTGAAGGCAACTCTCCAGGTTACCTGTCAAATTTTGAATGACCATGAGCAGTTCAACCATATACTGTCCAAACAAAAATTGTATTATTCTTTCTATAAGTGATTTCTGTCCTGCCAACACCATTTCAGAAAATAGCTACACATCAATAAATTGTTTTTATGTGGCCTTTCCAGCTATAGTCATGTAACTTCCACAAGATGACTGTCTGAGCCACATCTTAGGATGGTTTAACACATTCATTACTATTCAGATTAAGTGGCTTGTGATCTACCTAGGGGATTGGTCAGGTCATGATCCTGTTTGAAAGATGACATCATGAAATTAACAATGAGTTTGCATCTATTAGGGCTAATTCCAAGGAGGTTCAGAGCGACCTTAGTACCATCCAGAAGAATCTGGAGGGCAGCACATACTTTGGACATGTAGTCCTAGTACAGACCACCTCCTGGACCCAAAAAACAGAGCGGTAACACTGAAGAAAGCACAAGAGGGCTAGAAACACTGGCAAACTCAGGAGAGCCTAGACATAGAGAAAGAGTAACAATATCAAAGCAACAGGAACCATGAGACCAATTGTGACCTTGTGGTCCCAGAGTTAAAGTTGAGTGACTTAGAGCAGGAGGCCAGCTGAGAGAACAGGCTGCATTCAGTCACTAGTCCATGGAGCTAAAAGAGCTCAAACAATTTCAATGTAAGGCAAAGACCTGCATATGCCACTGCTGGCTTTTCATGACCCTCCCACATGGACTGTGAGGCAGGATCCACTCAGACCCTAAGGCAGTATAGGCACTGGTAGCATGGAAGGAGCCAGCAGCAGAGGCCTGGAAACACCCAGAAATAGAGGTTCACGTTATCTTGTGCAAGGATCTTTCTGTGGGCAAAGTGGAACCCAGTGAGTCCCAGAGGAAGAGTAGAAGACTCGGGAGCCATACAGACTCCCCAACTGTGGGCTGGTAGCCAGAGGCAGCGGTGATGTGAACACAGCATCTGATGTGAACTGTAGCACACCTGTCCAGCAACATAAGAATGGGCATGGGTAATCTAAGGAAAGGTAATCAATTCACTTTTGAGAGTCTGTTGTTATTGTTTAATGTTTGCCTTCTATAAATAATCATGAGTTTTATTTTGCCTACACTGTGTAACTGTTCTATGTACCCATAAATTTCACAGATAAATGTAGCATCCATGGAATGGGTGATACCAGTGGGTGTATAGATACCCCATTTAAAACAGTCTGATGGCTGCCTGCAGTTTAAGAGACAGCCTAGCTACATGAGCAAAGTAGATAGACAAACATACAGGCATACAGTGGCATTGCCATTTGCTTACTTGTTTCTAAAAATCAAAACAAAACATGTGAATTCCCTGTCTGATATTTTGTCATTTTTCTTTTTCTTTCTACACCAAATATATCCCAAATAGGTCCTTGGTTCTGCACCACTTCAGTCTTCATTGTACCTGAATCTCCACCATTTCTCACCATGCATTGACTTCCTATCTTAACTACCACCTGCTCAAAATCCAGGAACAACAACAACAACAAAACTTTCAATATACAAATCTATTAAAAGCATTGGATTGATACAATTCTAGTGTGCCCTAAAATAAAACAATCAGAATACTCTTTCCTCTGCCTCCTCTCCATCCTCAGCTAATACAATTCTCTCACAACTTGCAGAGATCCTTCTGTTCTTGACATTTCCCAAATAGAGGTTTTGCTTTATAGCTTTGCTCATATTATTTCCTTTACTTGGAACACTCTACATCCACTCATTTTACAGAGATTAAATACTATTTTGTATCCCTGGAAACCCTAAACGTACAAGAGAGGTTCAGAACAGTTCAGGGAAAGTGTTGGTATCTGAAATGAAGTTCTTGATAGGAACTGAAAAACCTAGAACTCAAGGTGGAAAAAGCAGAAAGTTATGAGTAAAACCATTGAAGAGGTTGTGACTAATCATAATCTGGTAATGGGTACCCAGCTTTAAACCATCTGAAAGATTGCATATAGCATTACTTGAAACAATTTACAGTTTAATGATAAATCTGTAGTGTATGTATGTGACCCACTGGAAATATTACTTTGATGCACTGATGTAAATATAGATTATTATCTTTAACCTTTAAACTCTGGTGGTGGTGGCATCCTGTGGAGTCGGTTCCAACTCATAAAGTTTCTGAGGCTGTACATCTTTACAGCAGCAGAAACCTCAACTTTCTCTGGTGGAACAGATGGCTGGGCTTGCAGTTTCTAACTGCCGACCTTGAGGTTAACAGCCTGACTTATAACCACTACTCTACCAGAGTGCCTTATTTAAATGCTATCTCCTTCTGTTTACATTAAATCCTGAGATATCTTGGTTCTAATCATTCCTTAGCAATGCCTCCAGGTAATTAAAATACCCCCCTATAACAAACATATGCAGATTATATTATCCCAAAAAATAAATACCTGAAGGAAAGAAAGTGAATAGAACTTACCATAGCACGTGGGTGTATCAGACCATCCATCATCACCACATACTAAAGAGCCTGTGGTGTTTCCACCTGCATTTTCATAGCCATATCTGCATTCATAGTCCAGCTTGTCATTGAGCTTAAACCATGTGCCATTACTTTTGGCTCTGGCATTTTCAAATTTTGGCATTTCACAAAATTCTAGTGCATGATAAAATTGAGGATTTCATGTCATGTTATTTAAAGGGCAAGCCAACTAGGTAAATCCAATGTCAGAAACAAAACTGCTTTCCAATTATGTACCTTTTAAATGTGATCTAAGAAAACCAAAGATAAATTGTCTCCTAAAATCATTACTACATTACAAATATATATTTATGTTGACAGTATTCTTCAAATCATTTAAATCATCTGAGAAAAATTATGTTAAGTACATTTTTCTCAATTCTATTTAAACCTATAATGCTGGCTAATATGACAAAACATTAGAGGTATTAATTCTTGTTCAGAAAACCACAAATATATATATATATATATATTTCTTTTCATTTAAAAAGCAAGTCTAATTACCAGTTAAGACATATAAACCATAGCAAATAGATTAATTGGATATAAAGATCTATGTTTTACTTATATGACATTTTATCTTTCATAACAAGTCTTCTTATAATATTTGATCACAATTTAGAATAAAACACATTGATATGAGAACAATTCTTAAATTTTTTTTCTTTAGATAGACGACAAATAAACATAAAGATTGAAAAATTAACTAAAAGTTAACTATACAGTAAGATAGACATTTTATACTTCAAATATACCATTGAATAACTGGAAAAATAAGGTAATCTAAGCAAATTGTTCTTAGTAGATCTTTATAAACAATTAGTTAATGGGGCAGTATTTTAGTACTATCAAGCAATGTTTCCCTTCATTACCTAGACATTCATGAAGATTTTCAAAAATCGCAGCAAGAATTTCCATAAGTAGACCTCTCCTACAGTATTGATTGTATAAATCATAAAGGTTAAAGTTTTCTAGGATTCTGCACTAGGGTTTTATCTCTTCCCTTAAAAACATAACACTTCTGTCTTGAGCAAGACTCTAATATAAAAAGACTGGACACAACAAACAGGATAATTTGGGCTAAAAATAGTCAAGTATACACCAGTATAGGCATGAGACTCCCTAACTAGCTTTTAAATCAGGAGACTGCTTTAAAGTAGGAAAAACTTGAACATAAAAGATGGAATTCTATTCTATTGGTAATTACTCCAAAAATGCAATAAAGACCTAATCAACTACCTAATTATAACTGTGTACTTATACAATTGTATACCTGTATATGATTTCTAGATTACATATATGATTTCTACATTACATATCTGATTCCTATATTATACCTATAGTTCTACATTCTCT